GCCACAGTTTCCCGGAGGGTCCATCCACGGTCTTCTGGGTGGCAGTGATGGCGTGGACAGTGGTCATGAGTCCTTCCACAATACCAAAGTTGTCATGGATGACCTTGGCCAGGGGCGCTAAGCAGTTGGTGGTGCAGGAGGCATTGCTGACGATCTTGAGGCTGTTGTCATACTTCTCATGGTTCACGCCCATCACGAACATGGGGGCATCAGCAGAAGGGGCAGATATGATGACCCTTTTGGCTCCCCCCTGCAAGTGAGCCCCAGCCTTCTCCATGGTGGTGAAGACGCCAGTGGACTCCACCACGTACTCAGCACCAGCATCGCCCCACTTGATTTTGGAGGGATCTCGCTCCTGGAAGATGGTGATGGGATTGCCATTGATAACAAGCTTCCCGTTCTCAGCTTTGACAGTGCCATGGAATTTGCCGTGGGTGGAATCATACTGGAACATGTAGACCATGTAGTTGAGGTCAATGAAGGGATCATTGATGGCGACAATATCCACTTTACCAGAGTTAAAAGCAGCCCTGGTGACCAGGCGCCCAATACGACCAAATCCGTTAACTCCGACCTTCACCTTCCCCATGGTGTCTCAGGGATGTGGCTGGCGATGGGAGACTAGATGCAGCTTTCCGGCGAACAGGAGGCGCAGAGAGCCTATTCTGTAATTTTTTTAACTGAAAAATATTTAGGTTCCTTTTCTTAGCAAGATTTTTTTTAATATCCAGGAAGACGATCCACTAGATATTCTTTTTTACTCATCAAAAACTCTGTTAATTTTTCCTCCTAAAGAATCTTCTGATATAATCATATGCTCCTTAGTAATATTTCATATTAAAAGTATTTTCATTGAAAGGAGCAAGGAGTTATACTTTTCTTGTGGTGTTTCAAATATTATTAATATTTTTTGCTGTGACTTGCATTTTAAAACAAGCTTTTATAGGTAGAAAGCAAATGCAAAAAGTTATCAGTCCAAGAATATTTTGTTTCTTTACTTAAGAAAACTAAAGCAATTACAAACAGGGTCTAAAGGAAAACATTTCACCGTAACAAAAGTGTTTTCTTCTAAGAAACAAATGAAAAGCAAAGTTTGTTTTCAGGTGAAAGAAAAACTTACTAATCATGATAAATAACAACTATAGCATTTCCTGGAAGTTTCTTCAAAACTAAACTAAAAGGACAGGTAGTCTTAATTAGCCACTGAGTCTGGACTTGCAAAATATGAATCTATACTTTTTTCAACCCAGAAATATTTATCCCAAGACATCAGTCTTATCAGGGTATAAGGTGGGACTATACATTAGAGGGCTTAGAGCTAGGAGCAAAGCCACAATGTCAGAAGGGTCAGTGGCAAGCAATTCTTGTTCTTCCATTCTTTTTTCTTCCACAGTCCTTTATATTACAGTCTGGAAGAAGACTGTTAAAAGGGATGCAAACAACCATAGGAAGAAAACATAAAATTTATAATGCAATAGTTCAGAACAATTTAAAAAGAATAGGATCCGGCTGCAAACTCCCAGCAGGCAACTGCAGTTTCAGTCACTACCATTTTGAGAGCTGACTCCCATATCCTTTTTCTTTTCTCATCTTTGTTCTTTTCCACCTTCTGTTACTTCCAACTCTTCCTATCTTCCCCAACTTTGCCCAGTTGTAAAAAAAAAAAAAAAAATCAACAAAATCTGACCTACATCTCAATAGTATCCACCTCTGCTATATTTTTCTATTATGGAATCTCCTCCTTCCAAGAGAAGGCTTTATCTCAATTTCAAAGCACTCTGCAGTAGTCAGGATTCTAAAGTGACTGACTCACAGCCAGAAATGGTTGGAAATCCTCTGACCTACTAAAAGAAAAGAACAAACTATAAAAAGAGCTATATCCACTTACCACGAACCTGCTTTTTTATTTCTTTGGCGGAATCCAGCCATGTCTGTAAAAAGAAGAAAAGACATTCACACAGAGCTCCAAAACACATAAACAACAGAGTACTGGAAGCAGGATCACTGACTATCTTCAAATAGTGCCTCCAGATCAACCTACATCTCCTTTGATAGTCTTTGCATTAATTTCACAAAGCATAGTGATTTTGAGGAGACAAACAGGGACTCTGACAATTGGCCCTGAATATTAGCTCCACTACTTCCTGGCTGAGTGACTTTAGGATCTCTGTACCTCAGTTTCCTCATCTATAAAATGAGATACTGGTAGTAGTACCTACTTCATAATGTTACTGTGCTGATGAAAGGAGTTAATACATGTAAATATCTTAGTACACAGCAAATGCTAAATAAGCACTGCTTATTTATATTATTCTATAAAGACTAGTAGATAGCTACAATCAGAATTAATTGACAGCATCCACATTTTATTTTTCCCCTCCAACTCTGACCTTTGGTCTCCTTCAGGTTTTTGTGTTTTGCTTGTTTGTTTGTTTTTGGGATGGAGTCTCACTCTGCTGCCCAGCTGGAGTACATTGGCATGATCTCACCTCACTGTAACCTCTGCCTCCCGGGTTCAAGCAATTCTCCTGACTTAGCCTTCCAAGTAGCTGGGATTACAGGTGCTCACCACCACGCCCGGCTAATTTTTGTATTTTTAGTAGAGATGGGGTTTCACCATTTGACCAGGCTGGTCTCCAACTCCTGACCTCAGCTGATCTGTCCACCTCGGCCTCCCAAAGTGCTGGGATTATAGGCTTGAGCCACCGTGCCCGGCCAAAGTTTTCTGTATCAGTACAGTATTCCATATATGGCTTGTGCCCAATTAATGTTTACTGAATGAATAGACATTTTGTTTTCCCTAAAGACTCTTGCCCATGCTAATCTTGTCCTTCACTGTTTTCCCACTCCACTTAAAATGTATACACCACTAGGCTAGGGCTTCTCAACCCATGGTGGACCATGCAAAATAAGGGCACTGGAAAAGAACCTCACCATTAGCATCTTTCATAGGTCCCTCTGAGAAATGTTTAAAGACAGAAATTTATAAATTTCTAGAATTGTTTAAAACATTTTAATGAAATATAAGGTACATATAGAAAAGTACATAAAACATAAGTATAAAGATCAATAAAATATCAAAATGAACATATAAGAATTATAACGTTACCTAGTACCTCAGGAGCCCCCTCTCTTGCCTCTTCCTAATCCCTCCCCTTCCTTTGTCCAAAAGATTTAAAATTGAATTTTAGTGGCATTTACATTTATTTATTTAGACAAGGTCTGGCTCTGTTGGCCAGGCTGGAGTTCAGTGACACTATCTTGGCCCACTGCAACTTCTGCCTCCCAGCAGAGTGATTCTCCTGCCTCAGCCTCCCTAGTAACTGGGAGTACAGGCGCCCACCACCACACCTGACTAATTTTTTTTGTATTTTTAGTAGAGATAGGGTTTCATCACATTGGCCAGGCTGGTCTCAAACTCCTGACATCAAGTGATCTGCCCACCTTGGTCTCCCAAAGTGCTGAGATCGTAAGTATCAGCCACCACACCCAGAGCCAGTGGCATTTAGAAAAAGGAGGGTGAGGAGAGTATCCCCTCCTCACCCTCTACCAAAAGGGCAGAGCACATGGTGACCATCCCATTTGCCCTATTGAAGGAATGGGTTTGATCATTATATTTTTTAAATTGATTATATACTACTTTGACTATTATATAGTCATTACAACAGACAATAAACATAAGAGTGAGGACTACTTTTTACACTTCCACCACAATTAACACAGAAAATTAAATATATAAATAAATGCCACGTATTATTAAATTGTTCTAAGGTATAAAAATAAGCACATACTTGTTTAAGCCGTCATAAAGGGGTGACCTGGGTATTTTCTCCTTAGTCTTTCATTTAGACTAAAGAAAGTTGCTGTAGTTTCAAAGGCAAAGGAAGACTCTAAAAGCACCAACTGGGTTTCATGAAACCTCTGAGAACCTTGGTTTATACCACGTAGTCCAGAACTACTACCACTTTTTACCACTTGGAGTAGATATATCTTACCATAGAGGACTCCATGTTTTCCATTATTTTTTTCCCCCTTTGTTGTTTTTTTCAACTTGAGTTTTCCATTATTTTAAGAGAATGTCCCTAGGTAAGCTGAAGCTGCCAAGTTCCTTCCAAGGATTCTACAAGCCAGTCTATGAATCTGTGCTAGAATTTCTACTAACCTTGACATAGGGAAGGCAAACCCAGTTTTGTGTCAATCACATGAAGATTGCGAGGTATAAGCTACTATGTAGAATAAGTTGTTATTGCTTCAGTTATCTACACCTCCCAATCCAAAACAAAAACAAAACCTTCTGGAGATGATAAAAATCAATGTGTACAAGAACAGGTACTTTTATGTTCAATTTAAAATTAGTTAGCCAACAAATATTTGTGGAATGCTTCCATATGCTAGGCACTGTGGTTACAAAAGAAAAAAAAAGGATTAAAATAGCACGGGTCCTCAGGGTGTTGTCATTCTAACAAGGAGGCAAAAAGAGAACAATCCATTTGTTTGAGGTGTGATAATTACAATGATAGAAACACGTGCTAGTGTTATGATAGAGCACGGGTATGCTGAGAGCATAGAGGACATGCACCAAAATGGTTTAGAAGTCAGGAAATGTTTCTCAGTAGAATGTCTGGGGGATCTAAATGGTGTCTTGAAGGACAAATGAGTTAGCCAGGCAAAGAAGAAAAGGAAGTAATTAGAAAGGCACAAAAGTATAAAAGTGACTGCAATACACCTTAGTTGCTGCATGTGGTTCAGCAGAGCTGGAGAACAGAGGTAAAGAGGAGAGATGTAAAGCTAAAAAGAACAGTAAGGTCCAGACATAGAGAGTATCCCATGCTAAGAACTTAGACTTTATCGGGTTCTTAGCAAGCAGGAGCCATTGAAGGATTTAAAATAAAGAAGTGACATCAATTAGAGAAAGCATGACTGTAGCCAGGGAGTCCAAAAAAGTTGCTGTTAACTGCAGTCCAGCAGAGTATCATGGTTAAGGGCACAGGCTTTGAAGTCAGACAGTCTTGAATTCCAATCCTATCTCACCCTCTGCACCATTTAGCAGCTGTGTAACCTTAAGACAGTCTTTCTGAGCCTCAGTTTTTTCATCTGTATAATTGGGATAAAATTACCATCCTCACAGAGTTATTGTGGGTTAAATTATTTGATGTACATTAAAAGCACACAGCCAGTATTGAATAAATTGTACTGATATTGATAATCAAAAGGGCCTGATTGGATAAAGTCTATAGGACAGAGGAGAAAAAAAGTTTAGGAGTTAAAACTATTAGGATTTGTGACCAAGTAAATGGGATGTAGGAGAAGGGTGGGCTCATGATAAGGGTTGGTAAGGTATAGTGGTAAAGAATAATTCTCAAGTTGCTGGCTTGGGCAACTGGGTAGATGTGGCACTATTTACTAAAACAGGAAATATAAGAAAAGGAACAAAAGGAGAAAAACATAGCAAAAACAAGAAACAACCTACATATACATCAACAGTTGAATGATAAATTGTAATATATTTAAATAGGTATATGTTTAAAGTATCTTTGGAAATCCAAGTGGAATATTTCAATAGAAAGCTGTATAAGCAGTCTGGCACGCAGAAAAGAAATTTGAGCCAGATATACATTTGGACACCTTCCTCATGTAAGTGGTAGATGAAACCATTAAAGATTTAAAAATCACCCAAGGAGTAAGTATTAGAGTGAAAACAAAGGGGGACACTTGGGGAACACTTGCATTTAAGGGATGGAGAGAGAACAAAGAGCTGAGAAGTAAATTGAGGAGAAGAGACTGCAGTGGTAGGAGAAAGACAGGTGAGGCCAGTATCATAGTATTTAAAGGAATAGGAAGTTTCAAGGATGAAGCAATTAAGATCATCAATACTGCAAAATGGACAAGTAACATGAGGATAAAAAATGTCAGATTTATTTTGGTAACAGCAGTTTCAGCAGAGCAATAAGGGCAGAAATAAAAATGCAATGAGTTATATCAAGTGCAGATGAGGACATGGCACAGCTGAAACTCTTAGTCATTATTTGTGAGAGTGTAAACTGGTAAAACTTCAGAAAACTGTTTGATAGCATCTACTAAAGCTGAACATATACATTCTCTAAAATCTGTCAGTGTCACTCCTAGAAACATGTCCAACAGAAACTTTTATGGTAAGATGTATACCAAAAGGCATCTGCAAGAATGTTCCTAGCAGAAGCATTCATAAAAGTCCCAAACTGTAAACAAGCCAAATGTCTCAATAGTAGAGTACATCAAGTGTGGTGCAGTCAAACAATGAAATATTATATTATACAGTAATGAGGCCAGGAGCCTGAGGCAGGAGGATCGCTTGAGCCAGGGAGGTGGAGGTTGCAGTGAGCCAAGATTGTACCACTGCACTCCAGCCTGGGCAACAGAGCAAGATTCTGTCTCAAAAATATATATATATATATGTGTGTGTGTGTGTGTGTGTGTGTGTGTGTATACGTATATGTAGATGTGTGTGTGTGTCTATATATATAGACACACACACACACATTAATGAGAATGAACTATTGCTATTCGAAATGGCATGAATGAATCTCAAAAACATAATAACGAATGAAACAAAGGAAGCCTGACCTAAGAGAAGACACTGAATGATTTTACCTATGTAAAGTTTAAAAACAGGCAAAACTGATTGATGGGGACAGACCCTAGGATGAAGTAACTTTTTTGTGTGTGTTAGGGTCTCACTCTGTCACCCAGCCTGGAGGGCAGTGGCACAAGCTCGGCTCATTGTAATGTCCACCTCTCTGGCTCAAGCAATCCTCTTCCCTCCTCTGCCTCCTGAGTAGCTGGGACTACAGGAGCTCATCATCATACCTGGCTAATTTTTCTGTATTTGTAGAGACAGGATTTCACTATGTTACCCAGGCTGGAGGAAGAAGTTACTTTTGACGGGAGTGGG